CGCAGCACGCACCCGTCTACACATGTACGCCTACATTCTCCACCAGCTCTCTAGGGGTTCAGCCGCCCCACCTGGTCAGCAAGATGGCAGTCACATCCCCTAACTACTTCCTCACTCGCTTATGAACACATACGCTCAATCCTCCTTCCAGTCATTCATTCAGCAAATCTTGTCCGAGGACCTCCTCTGAGTCAGGTCCCTGGAGTGTGCAGGCCCAGGCCCTTTCCTAAAAAGAGTTCAGTGGGAAACAAAAAATCACAATCCACATGGCCAGCACAGGTCAACGTGCTGTCGGACCCCAGGGGAGCGAGGAAGGCAGGGAGAGAGAGCAGTGAGGAGAGAAAGGAAGAGGAGGGCTATTTTTTGGCAGAAGTTGGGGGCATGGAGGGGGATTTGCAATGAGTCTTAAGGGGCAGAGAGGAGAAAGGGTATTCCTAGCAGAGGGAATGGCAGGAGCAAAGGCCCAGTGCTATGAAGGGTGAGGTTATCCTGGGGATGCGGAGAAGCTCAGGGTGGCTGGCATGGACGAGCATGGAGGGGAAGGGGCAGAGGAGCTGGGGATGGATTTGCCTAGAGCGAGTGTCTTCCTGCCAAGGCAGGGTGATGGGGGGTTCTCATCATATCCCATCATAGGAGACAGGCAACTGGGGTTGGGGAGGCTTATTTGTCTGTTCTACCTACCCCTCCTGTGCTATTCCTGGACTCTACCGAGACCGCTCTTCTCTCACTTGCTCCTGTGGCACAGCATGGGTTCCCATCTCCAGGACCGGCCTCCATCCACCCACGCTGGGCATCACAGAAGGATGAGATTCACTGTCAGACACTCCTTCCTCTGCAGCTCAGTCCACAGCCAGTCCATGGATGATAACTTCTAGGTGTCTCTGGAATGCCTCCCCTGGCCTGCATCCCTGTGTATACCTCCTCACTCCCCACACAGACACCTGAGGCCTCACTGGCCCTCCCACCTCCACCTGAGGCCCTCAGAGCATTCTCCACAATTTGACCACAGTGCTCCTCACACAGCCTGAGCCTGGCTCAGGCCCCCACTTGCCCAGGATGAAGCCCAGGCTCTTCAGTACAGCTTCAGGCTCAGGCCTACTGAGCAGCACCCTTCCCCCTCCCTGCACCTGAGCCAGTGGACTGAATTCCTTTCAGTTCCTGAACACAAGACACTTGTGCACATGGTTCCCCCTACCCCGAACATTTCCCCGGTATGGGGAGATGGGGCTGATCCTCCCAGAGGCCAGCTCAGGCAAGCCTTCCCTGCCCCCAGGGTTTCCCCAGGCCCCCAAAATGATCACCCTGGGTGGTCCAGGTGTGTCTGTTCTTGTCTGTTCGGCCACAAGCCTGGGGGCCCTTCAAGGGAGGGGAGAACCAGGTCTGATACACTTATGACCCCAGAGCAGGTAGCAGGACAGATTTGTTGATTAAATAAGTAATCAGGGCACCCCAGACAAGACTGTTTGGTGTGGAACAGATGAGAGGGCACAGGCCTGAGGGTGTGAGCGGGGTCAGTGCAGGCTGTGCCCTCAGCCGCTTGGCCTGAGTAACTCCCTTGCTCTTCCTGGAGGAAATCAATTAAGATTATAGCAGCCTTCAAAAGGTAAATGTACTACGGAAGTGCAAGAATTGGCTATCATGGTCTGTCTCTTTCAATGTCTCTGGCTGGGAAGTTCCTCCAGGCATCTGACCTATATCCGTCTCTAAAGAGAAGCTGGTTTTGACACTGCCTTTTGCAGACACAGTCTTCAGGGGACCCTGTGGGGATGGCCTGAGAACAGTCTTCTGTCCTACCAAGTCCTTAATTGGCAGTATTAGAGTAATGAGTCACAGACAACAACCAATTAATTATCCCCAGTTATAAAAAGCTCTGCTTCCCCTTCCTGGCTGTTGAGTGAGCCCGGCCTCCTGCTGCCAGGCTCCTCCACTCCTCAGAACTGGGGGCAAGAGAAGAGGCCATTTCACCTCTCTGGTCCTTGGTTTCCTGCTTCTTTATTTGTTAAGTGTGTGTCCTGGGGGGCTGGGGGGCAAAGGCTTGGAAGAGGTGGGAATGTGTCAGGCTGGGGGCAGGAAGGAGGGAGAGGAAGGGGCCCTTCCCAGGCTCTCTCCATGCACACTCTCCACTTCCCAGGATCCACTTCAGGGCCCAGGGTTGGATCCTAACCAGGGAAACACTGAGGCTTCCAAGCCTGGCATTCAAGGCTACTCCCTATCTTGTCCCAAATGCTCCTGGTGCAGTGCTCTTTCTCCTCCATCAGGCAACTTCCCAAGTCCCCCTGCCTTTCTTCTTCCAGCAAACTGTCACTTAAACCCACATCTTCAACACACGCTATCTTCCCTAGTCTCCAGCAGTTTAGGCTGCAAATCTATCGTCAGCCTGTGTGGCTGATTTCTCCATGTGTAAAATGGGTACACAATTAAACATGGCCCATGCAGATGTTACAACAATGACCAGGACAATGCATGTAAACTGTTTGCTCCCTGCATACAGTAGGTACTCAATAAATGTTAACAGATACTATTATTTTCATACTTCATTTTCCAGCCTAAGAATGAGAATAAAATGCCTTGTGACTCTCCCACCTTTCAGCCCATTTCGCAGATGAGACCCAGGGAGATCTGGTTTCACAAGAGTTGAACCCAGGCTTCTCTGAGTTGGGAGATACAGGAGAATTCCCCCTGCGGCGGCAATGGTGAGAATAAGGAGAGACACCAGGCTCACTGGCAGAGCCCTCTCCACCACCCCTCAGCCCAGGCAGCTCTCCTCTCCCTGCCAGCCCCCATGGAGCTCACGCAAGGCCTCTATTTGTTCAGCAAAATTTCTGGAGCCCCTACCCTGCACCAGCCATGTCTTTGAGAAACCAGACTGCTATTCCTTCGTTGCGAGAGTCCAGCCCCATTGCTGCCCTCACCCAGTTGCCTCAGGGAGGAACAGGGACAGAAAAGAGAAACAGGGAGAGAGAGAAAGGATGAGGGGTAGAGGTTTGGAACCAGGAAATAGGAGGAGACAGGGGGTGGAGCAAAGTGAGCAACTGCAGGGAGAAAGGGGCGGGGGAGCAGAGGATGCTCATCTTCAGCTATGAGTTTGGGGTCACCTGAGGTGAGCTCAGCCCTTTCTGCAGAGGCGCTGCCACCCAGAGCTGCTGCAAAACCTATACCCTCTCCTTGCCTAGCTCATGGCCCCCTGCTGCCCCTCCAGCCTTGGCCCCAGACCCCTGCCCCAGATTGGTGACCCAGACCCTAGCCTTGCAGAGCACGTTCTGTTCTGGTTCTCAGTCAGCTCAAAACCAGCCTCGGCCCACCTCCTCCACTCTGGGCCCTGTGCTGGCCGCAGCCAAGACCATCACTTCCTGACTCCATGCCTATGACTGGCCAGCCTTGGTCCCACCAAGGGGATGAGACTCCTGGGAGATACGCCTTCCCCGGTGTCTGCCCCTATGGCCAAGGCGCTTCCTGCCTGGGAGCTCAGCCATCTTTCTTCTCCCCTTAGCCTCAGCTGTCTCCCCACCCCATTCACACCAGTGGCTGCTGGACCTCCATTGCCTAGGTCCAGATCCAGAACAGAGTGTGGAGCACGGCAGAGTGTCCACGGGATTCTGAAGCCATGATCACAACCTATCTCCCATTTCAGAGATGGAGAGGCTGAGGCTTGGGCATCTGGAATGACCTGTCTCAATGGCTAGTCATAGCTGGCACTGTGCTGGTCACATCACAGCCCTCATCACATGTCATGGCCCAGTGGCTCCTTGAGAGGGGTGTGTCTCCCCTCTAGTTCACAGGTCAGGGAGCTCACAGGCAACTAGATTCAAGTAGAGGATGCACCACCAAAACCTGAATCCATCTGACTCCAGAGCCCACGGCCTGTGCCCCTCCACGTAAGAGGGAAAGCTGTGACATATGGTATCTCAGAGGGCTTCCCAGCAGGGGCCTGGAGTGGAGAGACCGGGGCTCTAGTATTGACGTTGCCAGGGGCCTGCTTTGGGCAGGTCCTTCCCTCTCCTTTGCCTCAGTTTGGCCACTTGACTCCTCTGTGGCCGGGAGTGGGGAGATGGCAGTGAATCAGGCCTGGTGCCCACCCTGGCAGTTCCTGCTTTTTACTGTTTGGGGGTCATGAACCCAGGCTCCTCAGTCTAGGGCTCTATTCCTCATCAGCACAGGCAGAGGAGGGCAGACAGGTGGATAAGCTTCACCAACCTCCCCAGAGACACAGCCAGGCCTACTGGGCCTCTGACATCAGTGGGAGCCAACACCCCCCCCACCCCCCACCTCCCCTGCCGCCCACACCCTGCCACCCCCTGGCCACTCCAGCCTCTTCTGGGGCTGGCTGAATTTAGAGGCTGGCTTCTTTGTTCAGACAAGCAGGAAGGAGGAGGAAAGTTGTTCTCCAGACAGTAAAGCTTTTAGATAAACACTACACAGGAATTGGGTTCCTTCAGGGAAGAAACTAGATCCACCGGCTGACAGCACCCCAGGGACAAGAGTGCAGCTTAGGTCTGGCCTGGGGAGCCCAGCACTGAAGGAGGCTTTCTTTATCTGGCTGTGCACCTGCTGCCAGCTCTGGCAAGCCTGTGGCTCAGGTGACTGAGCCCCGGTGCCAGACCGTGGCCCTGCCAGCTCTCAGGCTCCAGGATGGCCGGGCCCACCTCCTCACTCTCTCCTCCAGCACCCACCTGTTTGCCTGCCTGCCTGTCAGGGTCTGCCAGAAAGCTGAGGACTTCTGCCTACCTTGGGGTGACTCTTCCCTTCTGGAGCAGCCTAACCTCAACAATGTCAGAGGAGAGTTAACAACATGTCAACGGGACGAACTCCTTCTGGCTCTCCTGGTCAGCAGATTCAGGAATTACTATCAGCCCATTTTACAGAGGGAGAAACTGAAACCCAGAAAGGCCATTGGCCTGTCCAGAGCGAGTCAGCAGAGACAGAGGTAAGACCCCTCCCCCAGCCCCTCAGGCTTGCTGGGGCTCACTGGGTCCCTCTGACCCTGTTCCAGGGTGGCTCACCGGCGTGGTATCATCATGGGAGCGCTGGTAGCGCTTCCAACGGCAGCCGTAGATGCCCGTGAGGCAAGAGAGGCACAGCTGTGGCTCGTAGTACTGCAGGGGCTGGTGTCTCACCATACTCGTGCCTGCAGCCCTGGCGCCTGGCCCTCAGGCGCCCATGGAGGCCCCCAGCTGGTCCTGCAGGAGGAAGCACAGGGCAGTGAGGCAGGGGAAGGGTGAAGAGTCAGGCACCACATAGCAAGTCATTGTAGCCTAGGTCAGGGAGGGTCACCCCTGCTCAAAGCACTGCAGTGGGGCTCCGTCTCACTTGGAGTCACAGGCCCACCCTTGCAGGTCCCCAAGGACCTGTCCTCTGCCTCCCACCCAGGCCCTCCTCCTCCCTACTCCTTCTCCTCCAGTCATTCCTGACCTCTTCCACGTTCTTCACTGGCCTGGCATGCTGCTGTCCCCTCTGTCTGGAATGCTCTTCCCTTAGAAACCTGCACGGCTTCCTCCTCTTTCCCCTCCTCTCTTCAGGTCTTCAAATGTCCTTTTCTTTTCTTTTCTTTTTGAGATAGAGTCTTGCTCTGTCACCCAGGCTGGAGTGCAGTGGCGTGATCTCAGCTCACTGCAACCTCTGCCTCCCAGGTTCAAGCAATTCTCTTGCCTCAGACTCCCAAGTAACTGGGATTACAGGTGCCCACCACATCTGGCTAATTTTCATATTTTTGTAGAGATGGGGTTCTGCCATGTAGGCCAGGCTGTTCTCGAACTCCTGACCTCAGGTGATCTGCCTGCCTCGGCCTCCCAAAGTGCTGAGATGACAGGCATGAGCCATGGCACCAGGTCACATGTCCTTTTCTCAATGACACTGTCCCAGATCACCTTCTGTAAAACTGTAGCCCCTTCCCACGTTCCCTAAGCTCCTTCCCACATTCTCAGCTTTGTTTTCTCAATCATGTCCTTAAATATAACTTGTTTATTTTTCTTGTCTATCTACCCTACTATAATGCAGTTTTCATGAAGGCAAGGATTTTTGTCTGTTGTATTTTCTGCTGTATTCCCAGTAACTGGAACAGTGTCTAGCACATAGCAGACTTTCAAAATAAACATTTTAGAAGAAATTATCATACAAGCTGAGATGTGTTGAGCACTTAAAATACACCAGGCACCGTGTAACGACTTTACATTCATTGTTCCATCTCAGCACAACCATATGAAATGGCAGGTTCTGTGTCCTAAACCCATTTGACAGCTCAACAAACTGAGGCTCAGAGAACAAGGAGCAATGCCTGGCTGCTGTCCCATAACTGGACCGTAGTCAATCTAGGAACTGCTCTAGTGCCCCAAAGTATTCATTCTCCAGACACAGGGAGCCTCCTAGCCAGGTGGGCCTCCTAGCCCATGGGAAGATGGTATAGCAGCAAGAGGTGTCTTAAGGGTTGAAGTGTGGCTGCCAGGAGCTACTGCCTCAGCCCTGCTTGGCACCCTGGAAATATCTGTGGGAGCCACAGCCTCCGGGGGCCAGTGTTGGTCAAGTGTGACCACGTGGCAATGAGCTTGGGGCACCTCACACACCCTGAGTATCAGGTGTCATCCAGTCCTCCACATCACTGTGAGTTATTCTTATTCCATTTTGCTGATGACAAACCCGGGACTCAGAACAGAGAAACTATTTGCCCAGAGGTACACAGCTATACTGAGGTGTCAGGACTCCAACCCTGGCCTGTGGGACTACAGAAACTCAGTCATATGTTCTGTACCAGGCCCTATCCAAGGCCCTGGAGACAATGTGAGCAGGACACACAAAGACTCCTAGGGCCCTGAGAGGGCCAGAGAGGGGAACAGCTAGGCATTGTTCCAAATGCTTTCCATGCAGAAACTCTAACAGCAGCCCTAGGAAGGAAGGAAGTATTCGCATTTAAAAAATGGAGATATAATTCACATACCATAAAATTTACCCTTTTAAAGTATACAATTCAGTATTTAATATACAGTATTCAGTTTTTGGTATATTCATAAGTTGTACAACCATCACCACTATCTAATCCCAAAACAGTTTCACCATCCTAACAACCCTCACCCCGCCCCCGCACCCTTCTCATGCACTGTCACTCCCTATTTACCCCGGCCTCACTCCTCTGGCCCTGGCAACTGCTCATCCACTTTCTGTCTCTATGGACTTGCCTATTCTAGAGACTTCATATAAATGGAATTATACAATATGTGGCCTTTTGTGTCTTGCTTCTTTCACGCAGCATAATGTTTTCAAGGCTCATCCATGTTGTAGCACGGATCAGCATGTCATTCCTTTTTATGTCTAACATTCCATTGTACGGATCTACCACATTTTGTTTACCCATTGATCAGCTGAAGGACATATGGGTTGTTATCACTTTTGGGTTGTTATACATAATGCTTCTGTGAATGAGTTTTTTGTGTGAACGTTTGTTTTCATTTTTTTGGGGTACACATTTCTTTTGGGATAGAATTGCTGGTCACAGCACTTTGGGAGGCTGAGGCGGGCGGATCACCTTAGGTCAGGAGTTCGAGACCAGCCTGGCCAACATGGTGAAATCCCATCTCTACTAAAAATGCAAAAATTAGCTGGGCGTGGTGGTGGGCGCCTGTAATCCCAGCTACTCGGGAGGCTGAGGCAGGAAAATCACTTAAGGAGCGATTTTAAGGAGACAGAGGTTGTCAAGATCGCACCACTGCACTCCAGCCAGGGTGACAGGGCAAATCTCCATCTCAAAAAAAAAAAAAGGAATTGCTGTGCTATATGTTAACTTTTGTTTTTGAGATAAGGTCTTGCTCTGTTGCCCAAGCTGGTGTGCAGTAGTGCGATCATAGCTCATGGAAACCTCAGACTTCAGGGCTCAAGTGATCCACCTGAGTTGCTGGGACTACAGGGGTGTGCCACCACATCTGGATCATATGGTAACTTTTATGTTTAACCTTTTGAGGAAATGCCAAACTGTTTTCCAGTGTGACTGCACCATGTTACATCCCCAAAGTATCATCATCATCATCTCCATTTTATAGATGAGAACTCTGAAGCACAGAAAGGTTGAGCCACTCACCAAAGGTCACTCAGCAGAGCCAGGATTCATACCCAGGCAGGCTGGCTCCAGGGACCTTGCTCTAACCCATGGGCCTGCCAAATCTGATCCGCCGCCTATTTTTGTACAGCCCAAAAGCTAAGAATAGTCTTTATATTTTTAAATGGTTGTGAGAGTCAAAACAAAAATATCTTGTGACACATGAAAATTACATGAAAGTCAAATTTCAGTGTCCATAAATAAAGTTTCATTGGACGCAGCCATGCTCATTCATTTATGTATTGTCTATGGCTGTTTTAACTGTAACTGCAGTGTTGAGTAGTTGCCACAGAGACCATATGGCTTGCAAAGCCTAAAATACTGACTGTCTGGCCCTTCAGAGGGAAAGTTTGCAGACTCCTGAAGTCACTGGACTCTAATGGCCCACGAGCCGTATGGTAAGTGCAGTGTATGATGAAGGGAGGGAAGGGAGCCTGTGGGCACTGACCATGGTGCAGGGAGGGTCAGAGTATGCTCCCTGGAGTCAGCACTGAGCTGAGGCCTGGAACATGAGCTCCTAAGATGCCACTCTCCAAAGCCCCAGCGGCTGCACTGTAGGAGCACACTGGGCTTCAGTCCCACTCACTACTTCCACCACCAGGCCTCACTCAGGGCCTCTGCCTATCCCTCCAACACCCACACCCAATGCTGACCTCACCTCAGTGATGACATTACAGCCTGCAGTCTGAGGGGGAAGATGCATTAGGGGCTTGCTGGGAATACTGAATGACCTGGAGTCTCCTGAGTGCTGGGAATGGACTGCTGCAGCCTCTGTCTGGGGGAGCCCTGGGGAGGCATGTGGACTATGGTGCAGCTGCTGGGGCTTCCCTGAGCCAGGGCCTGGGGCAGGCTGGGGTGGGGATACAGCTTGGCTCCCATGGGGCTGGGGAGACCATGGGTGGGGGCTGGTGTGGGGTGCTCTCAGCTTTACTATACTCCAGAAGATTTGGGGAGTGTTGTGTGCCCACATAGGCACTCCCACATTCCCAGCCTTCCCGCAGGGGTGGTAGGCCAGGGTCCACAGCCAGGGGAGCCAGGTCTCACCCTGTGCACTCCCCAGACGGGAGTCTCTACTGTCATGTCAGCCACTACATCTGCCCCCGCCTCCCCAAGAAGGGAGGAGGCAGGTGCAATGTGGAAAGAAGCCTAGCTTTATGCTGCCTCGCACTGACTTGCTCTGTGGCTGAGGCCACTCAGGCTCTTCCCTGAGCCTTGGTTTCTGAATCTGTAAAAGCGAGTAACAGCTTCTGCCTTGACTTCTATAGGACACACAATTGGGGGCAGTGTGAGGGAAAGGTGCCAGCAGGTACTGCAACGCTGAGGTACAACAGGTGGACATCCTGCAATGCATGTGGGATCCCACCCCAGGTTCCCCTGCCTTCACACTCCTTTCCCAGGACTCCCCTGCCCCAGGACTAATTCCCACATGTCCTCTGCCTGCCCCTCCCCTGTCCCCACGCCTGCACATTACAACCCATCCAGGAATGGAAATTCCACTTCAAACCTGGAAAAGAGGGAAGTAGAAGTGTGTGCGTCATGCCTCGGCCCAGAACTTCACTGATTCTGGCTCTCAGAGTCTCCTCTCCCCAAGGTGCATTTTCATCCTGTTCATAACTGTAGGGGATTCTCTGGGAGGCAAACCTCTTCTCTGTCTTCTGTATGCTCTCCTGGCTACGGCCATCTTGTTCACTCCCACGGCTTCAGTTACCAGGTGCTGCCAAGGCCACCCAGGCTCTGCCTCTGATCGAGACAGAAAGCAGCTCCTGGATGTCTCCAGGGTTGTCACCCAGGCCTTGCAAACCCAGTTCAGCCACACTGCCCTCTACCACCCTTTTTTAAGGCCCTTTTCTCGCCATCCCCACAGCCACTCCCCCTGTCCAAGGCTTCATCTCCCCTGGCTGGGGACTCCTCCACATTCCTTGCTGTCAGCCCCATCCCTCCAATCCAAGCTCTCACCTGCAGCTGGACTGAACTTCTTAACAGGCAGTGACCAGGATCTGACCCCTACTGCTCTTCCAGCCTTGCCTCCCTTCACCTGGTGAACTCCTCCTGATCCTTCAAGTGTCAGATGTTCCCTCCTCCATGGAGGCCCAGTTT